TTGTTTCGATCAAGATTTTAGTTTAATTTATTTTATAAATTTATAATTTTTTTAAAATTTTCTGAATAATTCCACATGCTATGATTTTTCTATGAAGACGTAATTCCCGATGCAAATTATTAAAACTGGTATTCCAAAAAATTTAACAAACTTTTTTAACAAATAACTAATTTAATTAATTTTTTAATCTAAAAAAAATTAGTTGTCAAGCTCATCGTTTAGGATTGGGGAATTACAGTAAAAATATTTTCTATTATATCTTCTACGTTATTCAAAATAAAATATCTGTATATATGCATATATCATAAATATTTAATTGCACAACCCTTAAAAAGAGGACCACGTTTTTAAAAAGAGCAAGAGATGGAAGTCATATTCAGTCGTTATTTTCAAGTCAACAAATAGTATAACTTTCTCGCCTTGGTCTGACTTCTGAGTAAAAAAGTTTCTTGAATTGGGGGGTTTCACTGTTTTCTCATGCCACAAAACGGGCCTAATTTGTTGTTTCCGTTTCCGGGACCCATAGCCCATGCTCCTAGTGGAGATTCCAAAATTAGTCACATGCTGTCTTCTTCCGGGGGTGAGAATTTGGTCCCGTCCACATATCCAAATAAAATTCCCAAAAGGATAAAGTAAACTCTCCCACTTATAAACTAAAGACAAGAGGTGTAGAAGCTTGAAAGTTCTACCCCATCCCATCGACAGTATTTAAAATCATTAAACAATGTAGAATAATATACTTAGAGTAGATGCGAATGGGTTAGTCAATTTGGTAGCGTAACTTTGACTGGTACATGGACTATACATTAATTACAAGAGTGTAATAACAACATTACATGAACAGGTGGGGGAACAAGGGATTCAAATGTCAGGAGGACAAAAACAGAGGATTGCTATTGCGCGAGCAATTATCAGAAAACCACAAATCCTCCTCCTCGATGAAGCAACAAGTGCTCTAGACACTGAGTCTGAACGAGTTGTCCAAGAAGCTCTGGGCAATGTAATTGGACGCACTACCATCATCATTGCTCATCGCCTGTCCGCCATTCGGAATGCTGACGTGATTGTCGTTCTCCAAAATGGGAGCCTTATGGAAATGGGATCACATGATGAGCTCATGAAAAATGAAAATGGGCTTTACACCTCTCTAGTTCGCCTCCACCAAACAGAGAAGTCTAGAATGACTCAAGAAGATGCTGCCACCTCTACCTCTTCTGCTGTATCAGATAGGGACATAAACAATACTAGCAGTCGAAGACTATCTCTTATGACTCAATCTAACTCTACGAATTCATTAGTACAAGGTCGAGTTTCCAATGCCGATGAAGAAACCGATGCTGCTGCAGAAGAGAAGAGACCCCCTATTCCCTCTTTTCGAAGGTTGCTTGCCCTAAATCTCCCAGAATGGAAGCAAGCTACTTTAGGGTGTTTTAGTGCGTTTCTGTTTGGTGCAATTTACCCATTATTCTCATTCTCAATGGGGTCCATGGTTTCTACATTTTTTTTGACAGACCATGACGAGATCAAAAAGAAGATGAAGGTTTATGCGTTTTGTTATCTGGGTTTATTAGCGTTCTCAATGATTACCAGCATAATCCAGCATTATAATTTTGCTTACATGGGAGAATACTTAACCAAAAGGATAAGAGAGATAACATTTTCAAAGATACTCACATTTGAAGTTGGTTGGTTCGATCAACCTGAAAATACAAGTGGTGCGGTTTGGTCTAGACTGGCAAAAGATGCTAGTGCGGTATGTTTTCCTTCATCTTTTTCATAATTTCCCTAACACTGGATAAGCTCATTTAGCATTGATCTTATTTTTTTTAATTAATTTCCCTATCAAAGTGAACACATTTTTTAACATTGATAGTGATATTTGACAGGTGAGGTCTCTAATAGGAGACAGAATATCCCTGCTGATACAGACTTTCTCCACGGTTATAATTGCTTGCACAATGAGCCTGGTGATTTCATGGAGGTTTGCCATTGTTATCATAGCCGTTCAACCCCTTATTGTGGTCAGCTACTACACTAGGAAGGTCTTACTCAAGAGCATGACCAAGAAGGCCACTAAGGCGCAGGATGAATGTAGCAAGCTAGCTGCAGAAGCTGTTTCGAACCTTCGTATTGTTGCAGCCTTCTCTTCCCATGACCGGATCCTCAAAATGCTTGAAAAATCCCAAGAAGGCCCAAGGCAGGAGAATCTTAGACAATCTTGGTTTGCTGGTATTGGCCTTGCTTTCTCTCAAAGCGTCACAGCTTGTACTTGGGCCTTAGACTTTTGGTATGGGGGAAAGCTGATGTCCATTGGTCTTATCAAAGCTGAAGCACTATTTCAAACGTTCATGGTACTAATGGGCACAAGCCGTGTCATTGCAGATGCAGGAAGCATGACATCTGACCTTGCCAGAGGTGCAGATTCTTTGGGCTCCCTTTTTGCAATTCTCGATCGCTCCACAAAAATTGATCCGGATTATCAAAACGGGTATAAGCCCGATAAACTCACTGGCCTCATAGAACTTCGCGATATTCATTTTGCATACCCAGCTAGGCCGAACGACATGATCTTTCAAGGGTTTTCAATGAGAATGGAAGCAGGGAAATCAACGGCATTAGTGGGCCAGAGTGGGTCTGGAAAGTCAACCATCATAGGATTAATTGAGAGATTCTACGATCCATCAAAGGGGGTAGTGAGCATAGATGGGAGAAACATAAAGTCATACCACCTGAGGAGCCTTAGAGAACAAATAGCATTGGTGAGCCAAGAGCCGACATTATTTGCAGGCAGCATGAAAGAGAACATCGCATATGGAGCTAAGGATAAGGTTGACGAAGCAGAGATCATAGAGGCAGCTAAGGTAGCAAATGCACATGATTTCATATCAAGCTTGAGAGATGGATATGAGACATGGTGTGGGGAGAGAGGAGTACAATTATCAGGGGGCCAAAAGCAAAGAATAGCAATAGCAAGAGCAATAATGAAGAACCCTGGGGTGTTGCTACTAGACGAGGCAACAAGTGCACTGGATAACCAATCGGAGAGGGCAGTGCAAGAAGCACTAGAGCGTGTTATGGTTGGGAGAACCAGTGTGGTGGTGGCACATAGATTGAGCACCGTTCAGAAGTGTGATGTGATAGCTGTCTTGGAAAAGGGAAAGGTGGTGGAGAAAGGCACACACTCGTCTTTGCTTGCCAAGGGACCAGGTGGGGCTTATTATGCTCTGCTTACTCTTCAAAGGAGGCACTCCAATTCCATTAACCAACCCAGTTGACAAATATGTGATTGCAGAGAGGCTTTCGACACGATTGTCTCTTTTCTTGTTCGCATCTCATGTGCTAATGCCTATTTCCTAATACCTGCATCCTTTGCTTAAGTGTGTGAATACAGGGATGCGTGGCACAACTGTTTCTTTTTACCATGAGTGTTTCGGATAATGCATGATTCCTTTAGATTATACATTCCCAGAGAGATGGTATTCTTTCGTCTCTCCTACTTTTATGTGTGCCTTTGACACGCACTTACAGCGCAACTGAGTGTTGTTTTGCCGTAACAAAAGATTTGTGATATTCACTTCCTGCTGTAATGAATTGTTGAAGTAAGATGGACAGATAAGCATGAAATCACGCACACATAACCATGTTGAAATATAGATTTTGCATGCATGCATATTTGAGGTTAACAAAAGAGGTGATTTTGCAATGATATGTTGCCTCAAAACTAGAAGATGCACAATGCGTATCTGTTTTGACTTTAGAGTTAAGAATTACTTGTTCCCATATACTCCTGACCTACATCATTGCCCACGGCATGGTTTCCATTTGGGATTGCAATTTTTCAGTTGTTTCTTTTCTAAATAACACAATGCAAGTTGCCCAGTGCAGTTTCCGGGGTTCAAATTTTTTAATGAATAAGAAAAGACAAACAAAACTATACGAGTAATTAAAAAAAACATAAGAAAAAAAAAATCCATTCACGGAAATTTCTTCGTCTTTACTGCATGTTGGCGGCATTGGCTGCTTTTCAATGTCCCAAGTCCAGCTTTAAATGCTCCCAGTTAGAATATTAGTTTGCTTGGTTCAAGTTAGCCCAGGAACGAAAACTGATTACCGTTTGTCGAATTGGGCTGGGCTGGGAATCAAATGGTGTGGACCAACCCTCGTCCAAGCCTGCTCTTTCCCCCTTCTTTTAAAGGTTTTAAATTTAAATGTGAGTTTTTATCATAATTTGATGTCACCAAAACCAATATCAACACATCACTATTTAAATTTTTTTAATTAGGATAATCCTAATTCAATATCAGTTCAATTAGGCATCTTGCATATATTTCAATTTTATACTTATAAATTCACTCCACTTGAGTCATAAATATTTCTCTCCATCGTATACATGCGTAAAAATAAAAATTTTTTTGGCTCTTATATATCCTATAAGTTTATTTTCCTTACAAAAATATTCTGGTCGTTATCCATCGTTAAATTTAACAATTAAATTATACAGTTTGACCAATATTTTTAATAATTAAATTTAATGGCGGATAACAGTTTAGAGCAGAAATACTATGAAATAAAATTTTTAGGATATATAAAAGCACAAAAGCTTTCAATGTTGGGCATTCCCCCGTACATACTTGGGACTATTTAATTACCTTATTCTTTAAAATAAATATAAAAATATAATAATCGTTGTAAATCCAGTACTCAACAAAACACCTCAACGATAAAGGTTTCATCTTTCGTGCGGCGCCGAAGAAAAAGGGCACATCTTTTGGAATCGGTATGAAAATCGCGGAAGATACCGCCAGAAAAACCACGGGCCTGGAAAATAAAGGGTGCGTATAACCCAACCTCGCAGGACAAAACCCAAAAAACCAACGGGCTCAGTGATGGATCGTGTTTTAAATAAACCCACGCATTTAGGGCGCTCGGCTTCCCGCATGGGAGTGGAAGACAAGTACTCGTCGTAATTCTAAAATTGGAACAACTTCAACACGAGGGATTGCTCATCAGTTTTCGAAAATTTACTTGTCTCCAAAATGAGTTTCAGCTCCTCGTACCACAGCTTTCTCTCAACATAAATTTCCCTTGCACCTCTAATGAATCTTTCCTGGCTGTCTGTCCCAATTCTTCTCTCTGACATACAAAGCAAGGGAAGAATTATTACCAGGTAAACCCAAAGGCGATCAGGCTCTTCACTGTTTTTTTTCTTTTTTCCCAGTGATTCGCTTGCTCTTTCCGCAGCATATTTTCCTGAGAAAATCTACCAACTGCAAGGTACCTTATGCATGTTTTTGCCCCTTTTCTCTTTCTTGCGGCGTTGTTGATATGTGCTCCTCTTTATTTCATTCCCTACTGTTTTTTCTTTTTCTAAAAGATTGCTTGTCTTTTTTGTTTTTGTTTCGGGGGCAGATATGAAGAGAACTAGGGACGATACTTATGCTTCTTCTCAATTAAAGCGACCCATGGGTTCTTCACGCGGGGATTCGTATGTCTTTCTCTTACTTTTCTTTCCTTCGCATGCCAATTTCATTTCTCTGTAGAGTTAATTGCTCATCTTTAGCGAGTGTATCTTGTCAAGGCCTTAACACCGCCTCGATGATGAATTGAAGCGTTTCTTGCATTGTTGGGGATTTTGAGTTTTCACCTGAGGTGTCTTGCTAATGCCCGAAGATTATTTATCTTTTTACCTATTGAGGAATTTTTTGTTGAATTGCTGTGGGCTTATCTTTTATTTGACTTAAATTGACTATGGAACGGGTTCTCCGGTGGTAAAATAACATTTGGGAGCAGATGTAGTTGGTTTTTGTCATATCCATAAATCTTACTGAGTAACATCGTTAATGCTCTCAATTGCATTACATTAACTTTATTCTATTGACCAAAAGCTTAGTGAAAATACAAATACACACACACAAACACCCTTTATTCTATTGACCGGAAGCTTAGTGAAAGGAAAAACATGATAATATAATTTCTGGACAATATGACCACCAATTAAGTAGCACATTTATTATATTAGCTTTAAAGTTTTTGATGCTATAATGTTGATATGCTGGGTATCTGAATTGTAATTATATTCCACTTATGAAGCTATGGCCAATCCCAAATCCCTGGAGGAGGG